CGTTGGCTGCTTGTTTGACAGGTTGGCCACAGATCCGAGCTCCCTCGGAGGGGCTGCCTGCAGTTTAAACTTGTTTTATGTCATGAGCATGGCTTGCGCCGCTGAGAGTTGTGTTCTGCACATGCAAACGCTGCATCGAGTGTAACACCTACAGTTCCAGCAGCGTGCACGCTCCAGGCTCTTTGCAGAAAGCCGCAGGTCCCTGCTCTGCAGGCGGATGGCACAGTCTTGTTTACTGACAGCGAAAGCAGCTCTTAATCACCAAGTGGCCAAGTCATAGAGCAGGAAATACAGCAGAGCCATTTTATCACACATGTGATATTTTCAAGCCTTCTCCACAGAGGTAACTTGAAAATAAATGTGTGTGCTTACGTTTTTCAGTAAGGGAGGAGGGACAGTGAGAGGTGCCTGTCTCTTCAGTCATCTGCAAGCACAGATGATGTGTTCCCCAGGGACAGCTACCTCTTCTCAGTTGTTCAAGATCTGCCAACATTCACCCTGTCTCTCTCCTCTTTTTCTTTTCTTTGTATTTTCTCTGTTCCCTCTCCTGGTTTGACTTTCTCACCTCTGCTCCTCCCAAACCGCTGGGAATACTCAGCAGCCAGTGTTTCTACAGACTAAGCCTTCCAGCCCCTGCTCAGCCAAGCCCTGACTGATCTCAAGGAGGTTTTCCCTTCCCAAAGCTCTGAGGCTGGATGCCGTACCCCTCTGGCGAGGGCGTAAGGAATACACACGCAAAGCATGATGTTGGAAGGCGCTGGCAGCTGGCTCTCTGCGGTAGAGCTCGGGGCCTTGGGCCTTGCTTTACAACAAACTTGTTTGTCCCCTTTTATCTGGAAATAAAAGCTCAATGGCCATCAGTGTCTGCAGGGCTGCGCCGCAACGCTCTTGGAGACCTGCAAATGGAGAGCACGAGCTAGGCTTGTTTCTTATCATCTCGGATTAAATCAACAATGAGAAGAATTAAAGACGGCACAGCAAGACCCTGTTTTTTCCTGGCATGTCTCTGACGTGTAAAAAATTACATTTGTGCATTAATTTCTGTGTAATTAATTGTTGTCAGGTCTAATGAATTGAGTGACTCGGGGATGTTCTAACTGTCCTTTGCCCACCACAGAGACCCACGTAGCAGCAAGGGGAAAGAGACGGGAAGTTTGTTCCTTTTTCTGGAGGGACTTTAAACACTTATCCCCCCAGTTCTAGGGGGGATCGTCATACATAAAATAATCACAGAGGCACCTACAAGTTTCTGAGCACTAATTCAATCTGCAAGTCTCCACACTACTCTCTTGTGCTAAAACTAAGGTGATCATCCTGTGAAAAGTCTCTGATAGGCCTAGGCTGAAAATTATGCTTCTTAAGTTGTGAAATTAAGGCAGGCTTACCCTCTTAGAAGAGCACAAGTGGCAGAGGCAAGCGAGTGTCAGGTCTAACAAACAGCATTTTAAAAGATGCTTTACAGAGCCGAGTACCTTTCTTACTGGGATGGGAAGGAGCCAGCACCTCCTGGTGCAGAACACCGCCTTGCCCAGGCCCTGTTCCAGGGATACCTCGCATGCTTCTGGGGCTGTCTGGGACACTGGCAGAGGGAGAAAATTGCGCATTTTATCCTTTTTGGCACCATTGTTGCTCCTTTCTTATTGCCTTTCTACAGCTCCTTACGATCCCGTCTCTGTGCCCTACAACTGCTTCCTGATGATGGTACAAGGTTTCCCTCCTGCTCTTTTTGTTCCCGAGAGAAAGCCGATAGCCCTTGGTGTCCCTCCACTGAGATCTGCTTTTTGGCTGATGTTTGCTGCTCACTGCCCCATCCTCACCAAAACGCAGAAGCACCCAATCCTGAACTGAAATACAGATTCCCCAGCTCTACCCTGTTGCCTTTTCCTCTCACACCTCAAAATACCCTTGGAAGCTCCAGGTTGCTCCCCCAGCATGGGAAAGAGCCCTCTGAGACCCTCTGCGAGGGGGGCTGTGATACAGAGTGCCAAAGGCAAAAGCGCTGTGAAGCCGTGAGCCAGGCCCCAGGAAATCCTCTCCCAGCGCCTGGCCCATGTCAGCAAGACAGGCTTGCAGCAATTTCGGATCGAAGTTTGGATGCCTATTCCGGACAGGCTCTCCCCTTAAATTCTCCCAGACAAACTTTTTCCCGGCCTAGCCCTGCTCCCCACTTTCAGATGGTTCCTCCCAGGCC